GGGGGGGGGGGGGGAAATGGAAAGTTCTGTGGATGAGAGCAAGGGAGGGGGAAGTAGAAGTCATGGGAGGAGGGGAAAATGTAGGCTGCCAACCAGGAAAATGTTCCCAGCAGTGAGATCCATCAGACCATGGGAGGTTGGCCACTTGGGACATGGGAACCAGCCTCAATTCTTGCAAGGGGAGAATCCAGCCCAGGTATGTGCAGGAGGGGCCAATAGGACTGACCCATCTCTAAATACTCCCGCCCACACTACAAACATGAGGCAGGCTGTGATGCTCTCTCTTTTGAACCCCTTTCCCCCCACACACTTGCAGGTTCCTTTAGTATCATGGGCTGCCTGTGTGAATCCAAGGCTCTGCATGAACTGTTGCCTGAGGAGCTCTGGGATGTAGCAGGATCGCTGAGCAAAGCTACACCCCCCAGCCAGCTTCCCCTCTGCAGTGTATGTGGAGGGCAGGGGATCAGGTGTTGGAAGGCTCAGGTGTACTGGAAAACTGGCCTGCAGCCAGGTAATGTTACCTGCAACATGAAGCCAGCTGATTGCATGCACAGCATTGCAAGGTCTGAAGGCCCCATCCCAGCTCATGAAACATGCACTAGGAAAGGAAACGATCCTCCAGACAGGAGCCTGAACACCGCAAAGAGGGAGCTATCATGTTTAGAGATGGAACCTGAGAGCCAGGGCAGGCGCAGAATGGGTGTGTGTTACAGCTCCTGGGGCCAAAGGGACAATACGACACCAGACGGGGGAAAGGCTGACGTCTTGCATCACCCCATGCCAGGAGATCTCACTGCGATGTGTGCATCACACCCAGCTGGGAGCCTGGAAACACTGCTCTGCACAGTTGATTATGGGGCATGGGAAAAGCTCCTATTAGCTGGACATCACTCCATGCCAGGGGCAAGTGAAGTGCCGGTGAATTTGGGACAGGCTGAGGATCAGCTCTTTGGGATGGGCAGAGGGGCCATTGCTCTGGACCAGGAGGAAACGTGGTGGTGTGACAAGCTGCATATGAACATGTACCAGCTGGCAAATGAAGAGACAGTTCCAGCCCATCACTCTGCTATCACCCCTTCCCCAGGAGGGTACCCCCCGCAGTGCAGCGTGGCCAAGTGCTGCTCCTTTCTGGGCCCAAGCGAAGGTTCGCCAGTTGGTTCCTAATGCCTGTACATGAGCGAGGTGGCATTACTGCTGTGCTGGCCCCCCTGAGTCAGGCAGGGCCCCCAGCACAGCTGCCCCCACCCCCCAAGCTGCGTTCAGATTGAGCTGCGACAGAGGAACAGGCAGGCAGAGGGGATCCCGCCAGGCAAACCCAGAGTGACTCAGCTGGAGTCCGAGAAGGGCCTGGGAGTTAGGTTGGGAGAGCAGACACTGTGTGACGTCAACGTCTCCGAGCCGGCGGGGGGGTGGCGTGGGGAGATTTGTGTGACCAAGCCTTTCTGGTTGAGGTGTGTACCTCTGCAAGGCTGGTCCGGCCCCTGTCTGCAGAGCTCAGCAGCCTCCACCGGCTCTGAGGCGGCCTTAGCAACAGGGCTCCGTTTGAAGAACACGTCACTGGCTCCTCTGCTGCTGACCCTGGGCCTTGTGGCATTGACGCTGATGGTGAAATGGCTAAATGCAGACAGCCCCGCCTCCTGTGAAAGCTCCAAGTTCCCCAGGCCCTGAGAGAACAACCTGAGGCCCCGTGGCAAGAGCCTGGAACCTGCAGGAACGCTGTTGCCCAAAGGCCCTGCGGGGACCCTGTGGTGGTGGCTGCAGCACCTCAGGGCCCAGCTTTCCTTCCTGGGTCAAAAGGCCTGATCCTGTATGGTGCCCAGCACCCTCCTCTCCCGCTGCAGGCTCTGGTCAGCACTGTGGGGATGTGGCCCGAAGGCCAGGAGAATGGAACTGCAGGGCTCAGGCCTGCCCTGGCAGCCAGAGCAGGCCGGGGCTGATGTGCACCGGAGGGGCTGGCAGAATGGAGCACGGTGACCACTGCTCTCTGTGCTGGAGAAGGGCTTGGGTTTCCATTTGTGCCCGGAGGCGTCTGCTGATTCCTCAGGTGCAAAGACCCCCTGGGAGCACCCCTGTGTGGGATGAGAGCTGGGGTCTGCTCCCAGAGAAGGCCTCGCCTGTGAGAACAGCAGGTGACAAAGAGGGAAGGGGGCGCTGGGTCCATGGAGAAAAGGAAAAGGGGAGGGCTATGGGGACCATGGCAAAGAGGAGGAGAGGTTTATGGGATGTAGATGGGGCCGGGAACTGGGGGGAGGCTGGCAGCTAGGCCAATAAAGACCAATGAGCCTTCTCTGAGTGATGATTTTTCTTTATGTCCTTGGAAAAATAAAACCCTTTGGGAGATGCGGAAGCTCCTGCCTTGCCGCAGGAGAGCAGCCCCAGAGCCCCTGCCTCGCCTCAGGAGACCAGCCCCTCCAGATGGAAGGACAGGGCTGCAGGAAAGCAAAAAAGAGGCAAAGCAGTTATTGAAGCGTGGCAGGAAATGGGGGTCGCGCGCGCGCACACACACACATGGAAAGAACAGGGATGAGAACAGGCAGCCTAGCCCCCAAGCTGTCCTGTTCCCCACTCTTCCTAAGGCTCTGGGACTCCCCTCGCACCATTCCCTGAAGGGAAATGAAATGCCATGAGCTGTGGCCTGGAGGAAGCCCTCCCTGGGGAGCAGAAAGCCTGATCCAGGCTCAGCAGATCTTGACACCTGGCCTCATTGGCTCCAGAACCAGCGCTGAGCACTCACTGCCTGGCCAGGTCTCTGGCGGGTGTGTCCGGTCCCAGCCCCGCCGCCCTGGGAGGTGCCAGTGAGCCCATGCAGAGCCCTTACCTACTCGGGTACAGCGGTCTGGTAGAGAGCAGAGAAGCAGTTGCTATGAGGCGTATCACGGTAGAACGGATCCACCGCTGTGATCGCCCTGGGAGCAGAGGGGGAGAGCGTCACCGAGGCAAGAGGGGGGCAGGAGGGCATCGGGGGAGGATGGAAGGCAGGGTGAAGGGCAGTGGGAGCCAGCCAGCCCCCCCTGCCGACATGGGGATGGACCCGTCTCAGGGTCTCCGTGGCATTGGGGTCTCTGCCCAGTTCAGTGATGTGGTTGTTGGTGGCGAAGCCGCCCGGCTGCTGGGGCTGGATTCCCCCACGGATCCATCCTTCGCGGTCCACCCCCTTGAGGGTGTTGTCATAAAACCTGCCAGCGGGGAGGAAACAGAGTCAAAGAGCGCTGCATCCTGCTGGGTCTGAGAGTGCCCAGCCTCCTGCCCGCAGGCCGGAGGGCTCCCTTCCATCCCCCCTCCCCCCCACACACACACGTACCAGGCAGGGCACCTCCGCTCAGGCAGACAGACACACAGGGCATGCACATGAAGGGAGGAGAGACTGCCCCTCAGAGGCACGGGGAAGCTCCCCGGGGCAGAGGGAAGCAGTAAGAGCTCTTCCCAGAGGAAGGGGGAAGGGAAGTGGCCCCGGGAGGCAGAGTGAGCTGGGGGAGGCAGATGTGCCCAGGGACAGGTCCCCCTGTGGCCGAGGGAAGAAGGAGCAAGGGGAGCTCGCCCCAGGCAGGCAGTGGCAGAGTTTCGGACTCACTTGGAGTTGTAGCTGCTGAGGTACTTGCTGGGCATGTCCGGGTCATAGGGGGGTGACACGTACTTCTGATTGTTGAGGCTGAATCCGGAGAGTTCCTGGAGGAGGGACACGGGGCTGAGGAGCCAGGCCCGGGGGGGCCCTGTGGGATGCTGAGCAGGGGGCCCAGGCTGGGCTCTCACTCACCTTGTTCCCCACGTACTCCCGGCCCAGCAGGCTGGTCTGAGTCTGCGGCGGCCTCTGGAGCCCCCGGAACTGATCGTGACTCAGGGGTCCTGCCCTCTCGGCCCCGGGCTGGAGGCAGGAGGAGACCAGGTGAATGGCCGGCCAGACACAGGCAGGCAGGGAGGAGGCAGAGAGGCCTGCAGGTGGCGAGGAGGCCTCTGGCATTGGGGCAGGAGTGGTGGCAGCACGCAGGGTGGGAGGTGGAGTGATGGGGGCAGGCCAGGGGCGCAGGCAGGAGGGAGGCATCGCTCACCATGGCGTGGAGGCTGTTGCCTTTGTCTCGGCTGAACCCCGTCTCTCGCTCGGAGCCCTTCGACAGCACCGGCAGGAACTCGTCGCCCTGACGGGGGTGGGATGGAGTGACCCAGCGTGGGGCAGAGCCTCCCCTGTCCCAAGCGCTTTGTGGCCACCCAGCTCACCCGCCCAGAGGGAGCAGGGCAGAGGGCGCCACAGCCCGGCCTCTGCAGGGTCACAGGGGAAGCCCCCCCAAGCACTGGGACTCGGCCGCCCATGGAGGACTCTGGGAGAAGGCAGCCCAGATGGCTTCCCCGGCATGGTGGCACAGCCCAGGAACGGCCTTAACTCTGCCCTCCCCACCTCATCTCTGCTGACATCCCCACCCTGCCTTCCCTGCCCTCCCCCAGTCTGGGTGACGCCTTTCCCACCCTGTAGCCTACCCTTTGCCACCCTCTCTGCCCCTCTCCCCCTGGCCCTTCTTACATGGGGAAGAGTGCTGGGCACGAAGTCCGTCTTGGTGATGCTGGTGCCAGGCTGGCTTCGCTGCAAGGGAAATGCTGGGCTGTGAGGCTCCTTCCCCTCTCGGGGAGGGCCCGGGACTCCTCGGACAGGCTGGGCCAGCCCTGCCTACCCCTTGGGATCTCAGTAAGGAACCAGTGTGTGGAGCTATTCCATGACATGGGGGCCCGAAGTTGATGGGGATGAGGCCAGGCTGTGGGCAATTCCCCCCCCCCCCCTCACCACACACCCGTTGCTGAACTGTGTGTGTTGGGAGCAGGACGGTGTTTGGGATGCTGGACTCCAAATGGCTTTGGCATGTGCTCCTGTGAGGCAGAGGAGCCTTCGGCCTCATGCTAGCTGCCACTCAGAGACGGTTCGGAACAAAATGGCTGGGGGGGGGGGGGGGGGGGGGA